AAAAAAAAAAAAAAAATACACTATAAAGTTTTGTTGTTAAAATTAGGGTTTCATTCGGCTGCCGTTATGTCTTGGCAAGTTAGTTTCACGATTAGCCAGGGAAGGGAAAAAAAAAAAAAGGCAGCGGTTTCTTTTTCTTTTTTTATTTTTTATTTTTTGGTGGCTTTTTCATATATGGACAATGCTTTTCATGAATTTAGTCTCAAATCATTTTGGATCTGCCATTTTTACACCGACCAAAATTTTTTGGACCCATATATATATATATATAAAATCAGACACTGTACTGGATCGAAGTAAAATCTCAATTTTAAAAACCATAAATTATATATATTTGATGATCATTCAATCATTCAAAGTTACGAAAATATTTAGAAAAATATAGTATATTGTATATCTTTAATGCAATTATGTGACTGGCATTTTGAAAATAACAATTCACTTTGAGGCATTTCTTTGATTTAAAATGAAATGAGACAAATCTATCATATTATTATGTACAGAAAAAATCAAAAACCATCATAAGAACCATCATAAGAACAGTCGGAAGGGGAAAGGTGAAAAAATCAAAAACCCAGAAAATGGGAGAAGAAAAAAATCAAATACCCAGAAAATGGGGAGAAGAAGAGAAGAAAAGAAAAAGAGAAGAGAAGAAAATGGAAAAAGAAGAAGAAGAAGAAGAGAGAGAGAGAGAGAGAGAGAGAGAGAGAGAGAGAGAGAGTAGGAGAACTTAGGGCTATGCAAGAAGAATTGAAGGCAACTTGAAAGATTAGGCTACTAAGCTTGAAATTGAAGACCTAAAGGTAGAGAATTCATCCTTTTAATTATGAATGTGAGTTGTTCTTGCTAGGTTCATGGTGAAAGTTTGTTACAGGTTGGTTGAGATTAGAAACCAAAACTAGTTGCCCAGATTTTGACCTGTCCGCTCGAGCGGGGGTTTTGGCGCTCGAGCGGGAGTTTCACCCATGCAGTATTTCCTGTGCAGTGTTCGACGCTCGAGCGTGGGATTGGCCGCTTGAGCGGGATTGTGTGAGTGCCGCTCGAGCGGGGAATTAGAAGCTCAAGCGGGAGACCTGTCTGCAATAGTGCTGGGAGTGTGCATCCAGAGCTCGAGCGGGAGATTGGCTGCTTGAGCGGGAGTCTGTAAGTGTCGCTCGAGCGGGGAGTTTGACGCTCGAGCGGGGCGACTTTTATATAAATCCGAGATCCGACTTTTGGATCACTTTTTCAAGATCTTTTCTCTCTCTTACTTTTCCAAAAAGCCATTTTCAGAGCTTCTCACTCTAAAACCGGCCCTTCTCTCTTAGATTTGATCTAGTAGGAGTTGTTTGCTCACTTTTGGTCTTTACGAAAGTTGTGTTGATCGTCGAGGGCTACATTTTAATCTAAAAATTTCAGAATTTGAAGCATATTGGTTTTGGTCTTCATCTCCATTGGAGCTCAAACTTTGAGGTAGGGATATCCTACTCCTCCTTATGAGCTTTGTCTTTAAATTTTAGTATTTGA